GGGAGGAGGAGGGGGAGGAGGAGAGGAGGTGACTTCTTGCCAATGTTGGCATCACGCTGCCTTCCGGACCAAGGTGTGGCCACCGGGGTGCGGGGTGCGTCACGTCATTCCAGATAGCAGAGCTTCCTGGTAGCTGGGGGTTAACCCTTCCCTGCCAGGCCTTGGCATCGCTGTTTCTCTTCTAAGGAAATTTTTCTGCACCATAAACACACTGTGTTTCTGTTCTTTCCTTTGGCTTTGTGTTGTTATTGTTGGCTGGTGTCAACTCTATACTGTTACTTATTGTCAAGTAAATGGGACCAGGAAGCTGAAAGGGAAAATGCAGCCTTCCCAGGTTTCCTAGCATTTCCTCTTGGGTCCCTTCAGGGCTTGTCCCCACATGTGCACGGCAAGTCATTTAATTATCAGAGGTACAGAACATGGTTTCAGGGTTGTGTATTCCCCATAGAGAGGATGTTTAATTCTGCCCTTTTCACTGGAAATCAAATCTCAGGGATGGCCCATAATTACCACTTTCATGGCTTTTTGGAGTAGGGGGGCCCATAACTAACCAAGCCATGTTGGCAGCAGCTTTTGGAAAGCAAGGGCCGGTGTGGATCCCACTGCCCTGGCTGCACCTCACAGCTCTGAGACATGGGCTGGTTGGATGCCAGCTTCAACCTGGGAGCTTGCTGTCTTCATATCAATTTTTGGATCCACTTGCTTTTCGGCTGTTTTTGTCTTCAGTAAGTCACAGTGAGGCAGTGTGTGTGTGTGTGTGTGTGTGTGTGTGTGTAAATGTCTCCAGATAGCTAATTTCAGAAGACAATTAGCCAGGGTGAATCTCTTCTCTAGCATTTCTGGAGTTGCCCGCAAAACCATAAAAGGACCACAGCATATAAGACATCTCATGGACTGAAAATGCCACCTGCTGCTTAGCATATGGTCCCTTCCCCGGTCCCACAGGTGCACCTGTACCCCAGGAGTGGGCTCTGTTTCCTTGGGCCAGCCTGAATGAATCTGGGAGATGGGCCGTTTCCCCTGGCTGACCCAGCTACCTTAGCTGGTGACTACTCATCCTGCCAACTGCTAGTTCAAGTGCCCATTTCTTCTAGAACCTTCTGGTTGCTCAGGACAGCCAACAGGGCTGTCACTGTTTTGATCCCCAGGCCTCAGTCTTCCTCCCGTGGTTCTGGCCAGTCCTGACCTGCCCTCTCCATGGTCCATCCCTGGGTAGCCGTCCAGTGAGCTGATTAAGGTGGCACGGAGAAGCCCACCTTGTGGGTGACATGGGTGTCTGTTGAGCAGCCTCCTGTGCTCTGGG